CTGCTGCCCCACCTCCCACTCTTGGCTCTGGACTTTTGGCTTCTGACTTTAGCTCTGGGCTCCCAGTTCCAGCTCTCCCCATGCCTCTGCCTGTCAGTCCAACTTTCCAGGCTCCTGACCCACTGCTTCATCCCCTGCCAGCCAGGCCCAGCACTTTCCAGTACCCTGGGATGCTCCTCAAGGGCTGCCCCTGATCCAGAAGCAGTGCAGGTGCCTCCAAGAAAGTGAATCAGCCAGAGGGAGTGAGGTGAGCTAATCACCCACCCTCCAGCACTGTGCGGAAAGGGCTGGTGTGTTGGTCAGTGCCTGGACACAGGGCAGTGGGACATCTCAGCCCCTAACAGAGGGAGAGCTGCACCTGGGAGCCTACAGCCCCTCTGGATGCTCGGGGGCTGGGGAAGGTCATGACCAGGAGGGGCACTGGGCTGACATACACTGCATCCTGGCCCATCAGGGTTCTTGGACCACGGCCTGGGCACCACTGCTCCCACAGGGCATGAGGAGTGGCACGCTATCCAGCAAAGGTCTCAGGTGCCAGGAGATGAGGGCCCTACTCCCTGCGGGAGCCCAGACCCAGGCTGGGCCACTCAGTGCCTCAATAGGGGAGCCACCAGGAGCTGGGCTTGGCCCACAGGGCTCCCAGTCTATCCTGGGGGCCATGCATGTAGGGGGAGCCCTACCTGCAGCGTGGATTGTTAACTCCGTCCTTACCTCAGCTTCTGGATGTTAGACGAGACCCCCGAAAGCCTGTAGATCCCGTCCACAATGCCGTGGTGCTCCACGAACTCCGTGCAGCTCTTCAGCACCTGGGGCACTGGCGGGAGAGGGACAGTCCAGTCAGAGCGGCTCCCATGGCTTGGTCACAGAGCCATGGCTGCCATGGCCGGGCCGAGACCCCCATTGCCATACGAACCCCCAATGTCTCATCTCCCCTGGGAGAGCCCTTAGCTGCGTGTCCCAGAGAAAGCCCCATTCTCTACAAAGATGCTGGGGGGGAGGGAGAGGGGAGCTCATACTGAATCCTTCTCACTGCCTCTGGCCCAGGACCAGAAGCCCCCTAGCCCTGGGCTCCAGTTGTGCCCCCCTGCCACCCCTGGACACAGGCAGCTGCCCAGGGCCTCATAACAAGAGGCATGTTGCTAGGAAAGCACCCACACCACCGGCCAGTACTGGGCTACTTGCCATGGGCTGCTGAGAGGGGTGTTGTCCCCAGCACCTGTGCTCTGGCTACCCTGATGCCTCCTTGCAGAGGACTCTGAGCTATGTTGGCAGCAACCCATGCCTGCCCTCCACGAAAGGGCAGGTAAGGGAAGGAGCAGGTGAGGACCTGCTGGGCTGTGGAGCTGGCTGCAAGGGGTGGGGAAGTGGTGTGTGCCCGGGTCCTCTCTCGCAGCACACCTGCTTGGGCTCAGTGCCAAGATGGGGAGTGGGGTTCACTCAGCACCTCTCCCCTGTCAAAGCTCACCCGCCCTGGGGAGCACATCGCTGGGGACCCGACCCAGGTGACTGGGAGCCTTCTGGGAAGGGCTGGGGGTTGGCAGGGCTCCCATGGGAGGAAACCCGCTGTGCGCCTGCATCCCACCACCCTGCCGAGTTGTGCGTCAGAGGCTCCAGACTGCTGACGAGAGCAAAGGGCTGTGTTAGAGGGAAGCCAAGTCAGGGACTCGGTTAGCGCTGAGTGCACTCAGTCACCGGGGCAGTTTCCTTTTGGTGAGTAGCATATATCTCGCCTGGCTCTGTGCCATGGGCATGGCTATACGTGAATGGAGGGGACAGATCCTGACCCCGCCCCCCCATTTTGCTAGACGGGCTCTGCACAGAAGGAACCAGGCTGGCACGACACTGCAGAGAGGCTGGGCAGGGTGGAGTCCCCAGCTGATTTCACTTCTGCACTGTGCACAGGAAACGCACACAGAGGACCCAGAGCCGGCTCTCGGCACAGTGAGCGTGCATGCAGGGGCGGGGGTGGAGGGGGTGGGGGGCAGGAGCTGCCGAGCCTCACAGCTGCCCTGGCTCAACGCCAACCCCTTCCAGACCCCTTTCAATGGAACCAGGCCCAAGTGCCACGGGCCGCTGGCCGGCCGCTGGTGGAAGGGTAGATTCATTTGCACCACTGAGTTCATGAATATAAACAGAACCAGGAGGAAATGCATCGCCCTGTCACCTTACAGCCACGGAGCTGCATGGGGCACGAAGCCCCATCCTCAGCAGCCCGCTATGAGGGGGGTGAAAGGGGGACTGCCTGGATCTCGGGTTGCAGCGGAAAGCATGGTCCTACCACCCCCATAATGGCCACGACATCATCAGGGAACAGAGGTGATGTCATGGGGAGGGGAAGAAAGAGGAACCAGCAGAGCAAGGTTTAACAGTGCCTGGGTGTCCTGTGTTCTTCCTGCCGTGACTGCTGGGCTCAATACATCCAGGCCCACGTGAATGAGAACAACAACAAACTTCAACTGTGGAGCAGTAAGCAACCTCTGCAGACCCTTGCTGTATCCCTGTGTCCATCTCAATGTCTGTCTCTCTGTCTTTCTGTGCCCCATCCCACCCCTCCCTGCCCCTAGCTACAGCCACCCAGGTCCTCAGCCTCCTGTTCCCCCCACTCAGTCCTCCCCCTGCCTTCAGGGGCTCAGCCCCCAGGACTGAGTCTCCTTCATCCCAGCTCAGTTGGGGCTGAGCCTGAAGCCCCCTCCCCACCATCCCCATCCCCCAGCTTACTGGAGCAGCATTGACCATGGAGACATGAGCTGTGCCCTCTCTCCAGGCTGCACGTACACAGGCAGCCCTCCCGCTCCACTGCAGGGCCACTAGGTATTAGGGACACCCAGCACTTTGGCAAAGGGGGTGCAGAGAGACAGCCTGTTATCCCCACATGGCCCTGGCAGCTCTGTGCTGGTGAGGCAGAGCATGGAGCTGGGCTCAGACCGCTCTCCCACCTAATGGGGACCCTGTGTGGGGTGGTGGCAGGGGCTGAGCAACTCTGTGTGGGGGTGGGATGCCTGGGAGGGCACCAGGAAACAGAACCAGCTATGCCCAGCACAGCTTTCACTCAGCCCTGGATAAGGGCAGCTCTGATCCTGGCTCTACACAGCACAGTAGAAACCAGGCTCAGAGGCCGCATCTACACATGGCTGCCCCAGGTGTGTCCAGGGGTAATCCTGCCCACTCAGGTGGCACCAAGGGACTGCCGTGGGGAGCCGCAGGGGGAAGCTAGGGGCAGAAGCACTCGGTACAGGCACCCACCAGCAGTGGCAGGGCTGCCTGTGCCTTCCTGGTCCCTGGCACACAGGTGCAAGGGGTGACCCCTCGCCCTGAATTCAACCCACTTTCTCATGCAGTTTGGGGTAAGCCACAACACAGGCTCCCAGTGACCGCCATGGCATGGGACAGTCGCGTGCCCAACCTGTGCTTCAGACATGTACCATGCACTATACCACTCCTTGGCTGCCCCTTTGGGAGCCCCTGGGACCAGAGACTCCTGAGCTACCACTGGGGCTAGCACCCGCTGCTCAGGCCCACCCCCTCTCTTGTGCAAATGCAAGCCGGGCACTGCTTAGCAAGCATTGCTAGGGTGATGCAATGGCTCCTTGCTATGCAAGGTGCAAAGCCAGGATCTTGGGGCATGCTCAGAGCAACCCCTTGCAAGCCAAGGTGGTGGAGAATACGCCTGCCAGGCCCGCTGCTATCAGATAGCATCTCAATCTTGGCTCATCCCAACGCTCCTTGAGCAGAGTTGTATAAACCCAGGCACCCGCTGCTGTCCTCATGGGAATGGGGTCACGGCAACCCTGGGCACAGAGATCTCCCCTGGCCCCTCACTCAGGTCCCAGCCTGACAGGGTCGAGATGCCGGGTTGTGTGGAGAAGCCTCATGCCGCAGGGAGCTGTGCATGTGCCCGAGCTCTGCTGAGCAACACCCCGGCGTAGCGCTGAGGGGCGTTGTGGCTGGGTGGAGCTCGTTCAATAGCAGCTAAAACTAGTCCTGCCTGCTCAGCTCTTATGCATCTATCCTGGCTGCTTCCCAGCTTGGAGGATAAACATCCCGGCTTCTCCCTGGAAGCTGGGCTGGGTGCACTAGCATTCCCCTTTATTCCCAGCTGCTGTGCAAGCTTGGCTGCTGGAGGCTAAAGAGCTACCGCGCCCCAGCCCAGAGGTGGCTGCATTGCATTGATGGGTGAATAACTTCTCGTGTCTATTTAGGTCCTAACCACCACCAGTGGCCACTGGCACGGTTCTGAGCTGACCCTGAGGGCTGGATGTCATGTCCCAGGGTAGCCCACCCCCTCTGCACATGTGGTACTCAGCCCCACACCTAGACACCTGACCCAGCTTTGTCTCAAGCTGACAGCCCCCCAACTAACACGCATCCAAAATAGCAGCTGCCTACAACAAGGCTGGCCTCTGAGACCCCTGGGGACTCAGATAAGACATGAGGAGCCACTGATTTTCATGGAGCAGTGGATTGATCAGAGAGAAGCACCTACAGACCGCTGCACAGGACCCGGGCACGGGGCCCATCAATGCTTGACCCTACTCACTTGGCTTGCTACTTCCTGGGTCACCCATGCCAAGGAAACAGAGGTGGCCAAAGCAATAGGAGTGATGGGTCATGGACGCAAACCCTGGCGGGGCAAAGAGCAAGAGCAAATTCTGCCCTGTTGAGTTGTGGCTTGTCACAGAGAAACTAAGGGAGCAGGGGAGCCAATCTGGCTGGAGGTTTTCACCACTCTATACCACGGGTGGGCAATTATTTTGGGCGGAGGACCGCTTACCGAGTTTTGGCAAGCTATTGAGGGCCGCTGGAAGTCCCGCCCTCTAACCCCTGACCTTTGCCACCAGAAGTCCCTCCCCTTGCCCTTGGAAGCACGCCTTTCAGCAAGGGGTTTTGCTGTCTTGGAACCACAATATACCAAATTATATTCTAAAAAGTGATCATCTACAACATTCATTACTTCGAGTTCAAAAAGATATTTTTGTCTTGATTTACGTGTGTTTGTGTCGTGAACACAGAAGCAATCACACAATAGCTTAAAATGAAGTCTTACTATTGTATACTGGCGGGCAAGCAGGTGGGAATAGGTTTGTGGGGGGCTGTGGGTGTGTGGGTACGTGGGGGAGGGTGTGGGTCTGTGAGCATGGTGGGTGTGGATATGTGGGGTGTGGGGGGATGGGGTTTGTGGGGGATGTATGTGGGGGAGGGTGGCTGGGGTGTGGGAGGGGGTGGGGGTCTATGTGTATGTCAGTGCAAGGGGGGGAGTGGGTGTATGTGTATGGTGGTGTGTGTGTGTAGGACTCACCCTACCAACACACACACACACGGGCTGTATGTAGCTTCAGTCCCTAATTCGATTTGGTGGAGATTCGACCCGATTTGGTGACCGAATCTCCGAATCCAAATTGAATCAGGAGACCCTTTAATCTCTCTGATTCGATTCAGAGAGATTCAGAAAGATTCGATGATTCAGACATAGACACAGCTTTAAATGTTTTTTCTACATACCTCAAGCTAGCAGGGGCTCATGAACACTGAGATGCCGGGGCACATGGAGTGTCCCACAGGAGCGCCGGGAGCTCCCCAGTGTGCTTGGCGGCAGACCCAGAACTGGATCAGAAGCACTTCCAGTCCGCTTCTGGGTCCACCAGGGAGCAAGCAGGGGGCTCCCCTGTGCCCCCTCAGCTAAGTGACTGGTACCTCCTGGGTCTGGGGGGCCTCCAGCATGCTCCCCAGTAGACCCAGAAGTACTTCCAGTCCACTTCTGGGTTCGCCACCAAGCATGTGGGGGGGGCCCCCACACTCCTGTGGGATGCTCCACCTGCCCCAGCATCGCAGCATTCACAAGCCACACCTGATACCTTGAGGTATGTAGAAAAAACATTTAAAGCTGTGTCTATGTCCGAATCACGGATTCTCCGAATCAGAATTGAATCTTCAGATTGAATTGAATCGAGACAGTGATCCAAATCAACTAATCAAATCACTGTCCCCAATTTGGACCAAATCCAAATTAAATATGGCCCATTTCGCACACCCCTAACACACACACTCTGTCTCTCCTTGCACACACACACACACACACACTCTGTCCTGCCCTTCCTCAGTGTGCGTGCGCGCGCGCGCGCACACACACACACACACACACACACACACACCCCTCCTGCTCCTGGCCCTGGGGTACTGGCATGGGCCCCATGTTCCTGCAGTCCAGCGATGCAGCCGGGAGCCATGTAGTGCCAAAGCAGTGGCCGGCAGGAAAGCAGGGAAATGGCTGAGGATGAGGCGGGTCTGGGCTGCTGGGTCCTGCTGCCAGCTCCCCTTGGGTCCTACTGTCCCTGGCTCCTGTCATCTTTGACAGGCAGCCTTGAGCAGATAAATATTAATTTTCTAAATTTTTTAGGGGCCCTGTAGGCCAGATAGAATGGTCTGGTGGGCCCGATCTGGCCCACGGGCTATATTTTACCCACCCCTGCTATATATATGTACATCCACCCCGAGCCCGTCTGCATAGGGTGGGAAAGACTTCTAAATAATGCTAATGGTATTATCAATAACTACAAGAGCAACTTTATTATTATTACTGTTATTGTTATTAATAAGAACGATGATGATGATGATGATGATGATGATGATGAAATGTGCTGAATTTGCTGAACTGTTTTTGACAAGAAAACTTCTAAAAAATGAGAAAGTGGGAATGTCTGGGCAGAGGTCCTTGACTACAAACCAAAGCTGATTTCTTGGCCTGTAAACAAGATTTTTTGGACTGGAAATTTACCAACATTTAAGTTTTTAAAAATCTGATCCGTTTCATTTGGGGTTGAAGAAACATTTTGGTTGATCGCAAATTGTCGCTGCTGTTGTTGCTGTTATGTTATGCTACGCCATATCATATCATATCATATCATATCATATCATATCATATCATAGCATGCTACACTACACTTTATTGCATCATATTATATTATATTATATTATATTATGCTTTACTGCATCGCATTACATTACATTGTATTATATCATTCCCCCCAAGACCTGAAAAAAGTCTGCCCTGCATTCAAAACTTGTCTAAAACTACCCCAGCCCAGCAGCTGATCCAATAAAAGATACCCCCCTCTGCCCCCACCCCCTCGAATCCTTGCCTCTCACCTATTTCCTGGAAAGGAATCGTATCACTACAGTGCTACCACACTTCCCTCCCCCTACCCTGCCCTCCTTCTCTCACTTTGAAAAGGAAACTGGTGCATTTCCTGGTGCAGGTCCCCGGGAACCCAGCATGAACTGGTTTTTCAGCCTGTTACTGGGGTAGCTGGGGTCACACCCAGGCGACTGAGCGCGGGGGCTCCAGACCCAGGAGGCCGATTGTGGGAGCAGTGTCCTAAGGAAGCTGCTGCAGCAGGAGGCTGCAGCTCCGTGCACTGCCTTCTCCTGGCCCTAAGGGCCACAGGTCGGTGGCAGTGGGGGGATCCTGCTGCAGCCCCGGTGTGGGGAACACCAGGCCAGAGGGGTCCTGAGAAGCAGCATTGTTGGAAAGCTGCTGCCAGGGCCTGGCTCTGCTCGGGCAGGGGCAGGGTGGCGTCTCTAGCTGAGGTTCACACCCAGTTTTCGGGACCTGCTTTCCCCACACTGCCCCTGACCCCAGGTTGCGCACAGAAGCCAGAGCTCACAGCCTGCCATTTGCTGCCTGGGGCCCGGGTTAGCATCGTGGCCTCTTGGCAGCTCTACCAGGGTTAGAGAGCCTGACCGTGCCAGGCGCTGCAGTGAGACACAGGGCCTGGATGGGCAATGACCTGCTCCTGGCGCCGCCGTGCCGACCATCGGGCTCGAAAACACAGCCTGGGGCAGCCTCCGGATGAGGCCGTTTTGCAGCATTCACCCAGAGGATGCTGTGGGACACAGGCTGCCCCTTGGCAGGGGCTGACGTCACGCAGCAGCCCTGGGCGCAGGCCCAGCTTCCCCATCCTTGCCCCGGGTGTTTACTTTGCACCTCCGCCTGGCGCCCAGCTCGTTTCCCTTCGGCAGCCTGAGCGCTTGCTTAATCAGCACTGAGGCAACTGCCTACACCAGCCGTGCCCAGGCCTCCCTCCCGGCTTCTCTCCCTGCCCGCGGAGCTGTGGTCATGGTGGCTGTGCCTGGGCACCTCCTTGAGGGCACCGCTGCCACATCAAAGCTGAATGCAGGGGACAGGGGCCCGTGGCAGTGCCACAAGGGCTCCATCCCCGCAGGGGTCAGTGGCCACCAGGTGCAGGGACAATTGCTGCCGTGCACAGAGCAATGGGCTGGCTCCAGCCCAGCTCTCCCTATGCAAGCCCTCATGGCACCCCAAGCTGGGAGGGGTTGTGGGGACAGGGAAGGGGGACTGGGGAGGGGAAGGTTAATTTCTGTGGGTTCATGGCCTGGCATCGGGACCCTGGCAGACACAGTGGCAAGGGTGCTGGTGGATCGGTGCAGTGGGCATCAGCTCCTCAAGTGCCTGCTCCAGGGCCGAGAGGCCAGGGCTGGAGGCTGAGCAGCACCCCTGGAGCAGCTGCAGGGATCCCAGCAGCACCCTGCAAGCTGGCGCAGTCACAGCAAGCTGGGCCCAATGGCCAGAGCCCCAGCTCATTTCTCCAGCTGGTGCAAAGAGCCTGGAAGTGCTCTCGAGGGGCCAAGCCCAGCTTGGTGTTGAAACATCCTGCCCAGTTGTTGTCCTAACCGCACAGGTTTAGATAGACGGCGCTGCAATCAAAGCCGCGGGCAGCGCTCTGCCCCCAGCCTAGCATTCGGCTGTGGCAAAAAAAAAAAAATCACTCGATCCCAAAGCTTCCCCCTACTCCGACTGGCTGATCACTTGGAAAGGATCTGTTTCCAGGCCAACCGGAAGCGGGGTCTCCTGTTGTCAAGTCTGGCTCTGTCCCCGAGTCCGGGCCTTGGATCCCAGTACAGTCGTAGCTGACAAGAGACCCCGGGAGAGCCCACCGGAGCAGCCCGTGGCTTCGCCCCAGCCTGTGCCGCTCCATGGACTCGCCAGGGTGCTCGGCCCTGCCCTGAGAGAGGAAGGGAAACCAGGCCTGCCCCATGACGGCACAGCAGCCGCTTCCCCCAGCTTTCGTTTTGATTGGCCGGACACTTTGAAAGGATCCCTTTCCAGAACCAAGCCCTGCACGGATCACAACACGGGATCAACCCTGGCCCCATTGCATGGAGGGCTGCAGAGGGGAGCCCCGCAGCATAGCATCTTGCCCCTCCCTCCCTCCCATCCCCCAGCTCAGCAGGTCCACTTCCTGCCTCCACGCTTCATCCCCGAAACCCTCCCTGGTCCCAGGGCCCGCCAGGCCGTGCTGGGCAGAGGATGGCAGCTGATCCTCGCTGCTGCACACTCTGCCTTGTGGTTTCCTGCCGTTATCTGTCATCCCAAATGGGCTCCAGCTAAATCAGTGCGGAGAGCACCCCGGGCCTGGCTGCCCCTGCTGCTCGCTGGGCAAATCCAGGCTCTCTAGCCCTGGAAGTCCAGGGCATCCTGAGCTCTCGAATTCATGTTGCACCCCCGGGGTCCACTCCCTCATGGGCAGGCTGCAATTAGCAGGCACCAAGCCGTTGACAAGCCCCACGAGGCCTGCAGCTGAGCATGTCTTGCAGGGCAGGATTAGGGAGGTCTGGAATGATGCTAGGGTACCAGAGTCACCCCCCACCGTGCCGGTGTATGGCACCACACACCCGATAGCCGGCAGTGCTGCAGCCCCCCCAGGAGCACGGCTCCGCAGCAGGCGGATGCGCCCAGAGAACCTACGGCTGCAACGGCCCAGGGAGGGGCGAGCTGCAGGCGGGCACGCCAGCCCCTCCAGGCTTGCCCAGCCCCACTGAGCCCCCAGCAACCGGTGCTGGGGCAGCGAGGAGCGCAGCGGCCCCATCCTCTCAAGCATCCCTGGATGACTTCCTGCTTCGCCCCACAGGGCCCAGGGCTGGGCGAGAACCGTGAAAGCAAGCCACCCGCTTACCTTCCTGGCCCGACTGCTGCAGGTGCTCCAGCAAGTCGCAGCCGAAGACCCGGTCCTTGGTGGCCCCTTTCCGCCGCACCTTCTGCCGGGCTTTCAGGGCAAGAGACATGGGGGCGGGCGGGCGAGCAAGCAGGAGCCCCCGGGGCCCCGGCTCTAGCACTCAAGTCCCAGCCCTTTGTGCTCCCAGGGCCACCTGGCGCATGGGGCCTGTGCAGCAGCTGGGTGACAGGAGTCTCAGGCCCCAGTGCCGCCCATGGCCGCCATCCACACACTGTCCCACGCACTTCCTTAGAGCCACCCCATCGCGGCCGTCAATCCACTGGGTCCAGGGAGAGAGTGCAGGTCGGCAGCCAAGGTGCACGCCCAGCCCCGGTCGGCCAGGCACCCATGGATGGGCAGCACAGCGCGGTGGTGGCCCCGGCAAGAGGAAGCTGGCGGGGCCCGGGGCCCTGACGTAGCGCTGGTTGCGCTGTTGCACGCCAGCGCTGTTGGGGCCAGGGACCCAAACCGGCAGGAAGTGAGTCTTGCTGCCTCTGCGCCCGACTTCCTGCTCAAAGCATCTCCCAAACCACAAGGAGCAAAGCAGAGACTGCACAAGTGCGCTCGCACATGCGTGCATGTGCACATGCATGCAGGGAGCCTGGTGCACACCCAAATTGACACATGCGTCACACCACAGAGCTGAAGGGCTCCCCCCACCTCCCCCACACACACACAGGTGCACACTCCCATTTGTACACATGGCCCACCTCCCCAGGAAACAGGCTCCAAAGCTGACATGTATGCATGGACACACACAAGGGCACAACCCTATCTGGACACATGGCCCACCTCCCCAGGAAACAGGGTCCAAAGTGGACATCTGATGGAAGCGAGGACACCCATTTCTTGGGGCAGTGCCCCCCTCTGAACGGGTGCTTGCACTCCATACTCCTGCCAGGAGCTGGTGCTTTGGAGCCCAGAGAGCCCTGCAGGGCATATCCCAGTCACACAGACTAAGGTGGGGAGGGCAGGAGCCTGGAGGACACGTCCCTAGGAGATGTCCCTAGGAGATATTCCTGGCCCTAGGATGCTTATGCACTGACCTCCAGTCCCCATGGTGACAAGGCTGCAAAAAGGCATCAGCACAGCCTTGCACCCGCATGTTGGAGGGTTGAGTTCAGTCTGGTCTGGCTGACCGCGAGGTATGGCAGCCTGCAGACAGATGTATGGAAGTCCTGCCTTGCAGCCCATGGAGAAAGCTGCCACTCATCCCTGAGTCTGGGTTAGGCTGTGCCTTTGGCCTCCAGCCTTCCCCGGTCCCCTCTGTTCCCTATAGGGACCTCACAGCTCTGGCTGCCTCCAGGTTCAGTCGTCCTGTTCCAGGCTCCCCTGACCTCTGGAAAGCCCATTGCTACGTGGGACAGGGCAAGACACGCTGACAGGGGCCTGCAAGACAACAGTCCTGTTGCTGCTGACACAGGCACCACCCGGGCAGCATCCAACATGGGGCGGCTGTATCAGCACCTGCTATGCCGTGTTTGCCAGGCATTGGTCTCTGCCCCGTCTCACGCCGGCAGTGAGGGCTAGAGGGGCACAGGTCACACCAGCAAGGACAGCAGCACTGGAACACAAAGTCACACCGCAGGGCATGGGTACAAACGCCACCTGCCCCCAGTGCCCCACAAAACTCCATAGACACATGCTCCCCATGTATGTGCAGCATCGCGTGCATGCACTCAGTGTGCCCTTGCAGATACATGGCTGCCTGTGCACACCTCCTGACACAATTCATCTCTGCCCTTCCTTGCCACCTCCTCTGACCTCTCCTGACCCAGCCTGCCTGTGGTACCAGGGGATGGGCAGAAGGGGTTAACACATCAGCACCAGGGGTCAAAGGGGGTTTTATTTACAAAACCAGCAGTGCACGTAACAAAACAGGCCGCGTGGCCTCCTCCTATACATCTATATACACATGGGTAGGATGCTATATACACACATTTACAGAACATAGTCTGCCCGACAGCACCCAAGACACGCCCCAGCATGCAAGCAAGCCAGTGATACGCCCCGATGCTGACCCGGGCTCTGCTTAGGGGTCTCCAGGCGTGGCCTTTCCTTCCCTGCCAGCCATGCATGGCTCACACCGGGGCCCTGGAAACCCAGGGTTTTCTAAGTGCAGCTCTGCTGACACCAGCTTTGGAGACCTGAATCCCGAGGGCCAATTTCAGGCAGGGGTTCAGTAAAGGGTTCAGGCAGGGGTTCAGTAAGCCAAGGAAACCGAAGGGGACGATCCAGCCTCATGCTTCAGGGCACCAGCTCCTGCCACAGGGGTCAGGATGTTGCGCGCACACGACGTGGCAGCACAGGGCAGGCACCGTGTGCAGTCTGAGTGAGCAGGCCCACAGACAGGTGGGACACTATCCCAGCCCCTCTGCGGCGGCAGGGAGGAAGCAGCCGGGCAGCTTGGTGTTCACGAACGAGGATCAAGATAAATCTCCTAACGGGTTCTTGGATGGTCATCAGAGGGACACCAGCCCTCCAACCGTGGATGCTGACTTGGTGCAGAGTCACTTGGATGGACTGGATGCGTTTCAGTCAGCAGACCCGGATGAGCTGCATCCGAAAGTACTGAAGGAATTGGCCGGTGTCATAGCAGAACCACTGGCACAGCTGTTTGAGCGCTCATGGTGCTCGGGTCAGGTCCCAGAGGACTGGAAAAGGGCCAATGTGGTCCCTATTTTCAAGAAGAGGAGGAAGGAGGATCTGAGCAATTATAGGCCAGTTAGCCTCACCTCCATCCTTGGAAAAGTCTTCGAAAAGATTATTAAGGATCATATTTGTGGGAGTTCAGCAGGACAAATAATGCAGCAGGGCAACCAGCATGGATTCATAGCAGGTAGATCATGTCTGACTAATCTGGTTTCGTCTTACGACCAGGTCGCAAAACGCTTAGATGCAGGAGTAGAGGTGGATGTCATTTTCCTGGATTTTAGGACGACCTTCAATATGGTATCTCACCCCATTCTCATAAATAAATTAAGAGGCTGTGACTTAGATGTTTTCACAGTCCGGTGGGTGGCAAATTGGCTGTGGGGGTCACACTCAGAGAGTGGTAGTAGACGGGTCGGTATCAACCTGGAAGGATGTGGGCAGTGGGGTCCCGCAGGGCTTGGTCCTTGGACCGATACTCTTCAGTATCTTCATTAGTGACTTGGATGTGGGTGTGAAGTGTACTCTGTCCACGTTTGGGGATGATTTTAAATTGTGGGGTGAAGTGCGCACTCCAGACAGTAGGGAACAATTGCAGGCAAACCTGGATAGGTTAGAAAAGAGGGCAGCACACAATAGGATGCATTACAAGGACAAGTGCAGAGTGCTGCACCTAGGATGCAAAAATATCCAGCACCCCTCCTGGCTGGTAAGTGACCCTCTCAGCAGCACAGAAGTGGAAAGGGATCTCGGAGCCATTGTGAACTCCAAGATGAACAGGAGTCATCAGTGTGATGAAATCATCAGCAAAGCTAGCCAGACTTTATCATGCATCAGCAGATGCATGATGAATAGATCCAAGGAGGTGATCCTTCCCCTCTGCAGCACTGGTCAGACCGCAGTTGGAGTACTGCGTCCAGTTTTGGGTGCTGTACTTCAAGAAGGATGTGGATAGCCTTGAGAGGGTCCAGAGGAGGCCACTCATATTGGTTAAGGGTTTGCAGGCCAAGCCCTATGAGGAGAGGCTGAAGGACCTGGACCTCTTCAGCCTCCGCAAGAGAAGGCTGAGAGGTGATTTTGAGGCTACCTACAAATTCATCAGGGGGACACAGCAAGGGATCAGAGATGCTTTGTTCACTAGGGAACCTTTTGGGGTAAGAAGGAGCAATGGTCACAAACTGACAGAGAGCAGATTTAGGCTAGATATCAGGAAAAACTTCTTCACGGTGAAAGTGGCCAAATCCTGGACTGGGCTTCCAAGCGAGGTGGTGCTCTCCCTACCTTGGGGGTCTTTAAGAGAAGGCTGGACAGGCATCTGGTTGGGGTCATCTGACCTCAGCACTTTTTCCTGCCCCAGCAGGGCGTCGGACTCGGTGATCTGTCGAGGTCCCTTCCGACCCTAACATCTATGAATCTACCCTACCCCCCGCCCCCCAGTGACACTAGCAGCCCCCGGGGAGGGTCAGAGCCCAGATGAGATGGGCCGGGCTGTGATCCTGGCCTGTGTGGATACAAGTGACCATGCACCTCCCCAGCTAGATTTACTAGCTCTCAGCCCCTCACTGGGGCACACCCTCAACTGGCTGCATGGTGAGCTCCCAGGGACTGTGAGGATCCTTCGCTCTGAAATCAGCAAAGCACCAGGCAGGCCCATGCAATAAATAAGGCAGCAGGGGAAGGTGGGAGGCACTGGGTGATGGCCCCTCATGGCCTGGGGCTGGATCGTCTCTGCAGAGGGGACCCACGTTAGTCCCTCCCATTGCCCTATAACTCTCCCCACCGGGCATCGTGGCCAGGGAACGGGACACTTCAACCCCCACATGATCCCCAGCCCCTCTGTGGTGGCAGGGAGGAAGCAGCTGAGGACATGCAACCAGACCAGGGGATCAGGGGAGATGCTGAGATTGTGAAGCAAAGCCATGCCCTGCCCTGCCAGCACCAGGGACTCACAGGGCTCAGTGCCAGCAGGGACAAGGAGGCAAGCTTTGCTCTCCCCCAACAGGTTGCAGGGTTGCTGGGGACTCCGGAGAGGACTAGGAGTCTGGGACAGAGCTGCCACGTGGTTGTGAGGCTCTACACATAGCCTGGCTCCCACCCACAAAAGCCCCTTGCCCTGGTCAGTGCTGACTGTGGGTATTCCCAGGCAGGGACGTCTGGCATGAGGGTGCACTTGGGACCCCTGGGCTCTCTGGGGCTATTCCGCATGAGCCAGAGCACGGTGGGACAGACATGGCCCTGTCCCTGTCCCCCTGGTCCCTCCCACACAGCAGCCCACTGGAGGAGGCTGAGCTGCTTGTTACTGTCAGAGGATGCTGGGTGACTCCACACCCTGCCCAGTCCTTGGAGGCCTAGGTTCAAATCTTCAGGCCACAGCAGGGACCCCCTCTCCCCAGTCCCAGGGACTGAGGGAGCCCAGCTGGGTCTGGCCAGCACCTGGGACTGGATGCCAGGACTGTGGCAGGCTGGGGGGCTGTGGGGAGCACTGGGCAGCCCAGCCCGGCTGGGACTTGGAGGCCTTGTGAGGTGATGCTAGGCATGGCAGCCTGGGAGTGGGAGCCCTGCAGCCCAGGGAAAGGATTGCTGGCCCTCGTGTTCATCACAGCCCAGCTGTGAGCGGTGCCAGCCCTGCCCGCGGAGGGGCTGCCAGTGGGGCACAGCTCCAGTGTCTCTTTTCCTGGAGGCAGTGGGAGATGCAGAAGCTTACCCACCCCTCACATGTACTCCCCACCCCTTGCTAGCCTGGGGTCTCTTTGGACAGGGGCCTGATCCCATGGGCCGCCCAGCCTGTGGCTGATACTCATGTAGCATCCTGATGGTCTCCTCCATCCACCCCAGGGAGCCCTGGGGCAGCTCAGAGCCCCATCCCCTGCCAAGGCGGGCACAGCCCCGCTGCCAGAGGAGCACGAGATGCCCCAGCCCTGCCCCAGGGGTGGCTCCCCTTGGGGTGAAGGCAGAACAGACTGGAGAGCAGAGTCAGTGCAGGCCCCCAGGCTGGAGGCAGAGGCAGGCTGGAGCAAGGGGCAGGCCAGAGGGGACTCCACGTTGGCCAGGGTCCCGGGTCCCACAGTTAGCACCCGCACCCCTGCATCCAAAGCCCATCCCAGCTGTTTGTACAAGGCCCAGGCAGAGGTGTGTGGGGGCCCTGGGGGCATGTGTGCCCAGCCCCTGGCACCGCAGGGCAGGTGAGTCCATGCCCGCAGCCGTGCTCACACCAGGTGGCCCCGGCCATTGATGTAGATGCCATTGGTGCTGGGCTTGGCCCGCAGCGTGCCGTTCTCCTGGATGAAGTGGGTCATGGCTTGCTTTATGGTGTTGCCATTGCGCTCCTCCTCCTCCTCCTCCTTCATGTCCTTGCACTCAGGGGTGGGTGCCGGGGCGGCTGGCACGTCCGTCTGCGTCTCGATCTCCCGTACTGTCGACAGTGTGGAGTAGCTGCGTCCTTCCGCCTCCTCGCTCTGCATGGGGGAGATGGGTCATGAGACTGAGGTGGGGGCACCCTCCTCTCCCCATGCAGCCCCTGGGAGGGAGGGCTCTCTTTTTCCAGGGCACATCCCCTTCTGCTGAGCTCTCAGCTATCAGGCCCCAAAGGTACCTGTCATCCGGTTGTACCCTCCCAGGCTGCAGGGGTTGTGTAACACCAGCCCAGGCACTCACAGCCCCCAGCCAGGGCTGCAGGGACTAGGTGGGGGCACAGGTCTGGGATCGTCGTTGGTTTGCAAAGTTGTGTCCCAAGACCTGCCTGAGGCTGGCACATGACAGCGGGGCACAGGCCTGTCCTGTAGGCCAGGGGGTGGGACAGCGTGTTGCCCTTGCATGTGGGAGATGGTCACGAGACTGACGGAGGCCAGAGCGCAAGAGTACCTGTCACAGCAGTGGGAGAATGCCTCTATGAGCAAGTATGCATGCGAGTGTGTGTGTGCAGACATGCACACGCGAGCAGGAGGATGAGCATGGGCAAGCATGTTTGTGTGAGGCTGTGCATACATAAGCAGGTATGAAGTGTGAGCAAGCACACACATGTACATGTATGTGAGGATGTGCACACATGCACATATAAGCAGATGTAAAGTGCGTGCATGCATGTGGGACCATGCACACATGGGATGGTGTATGTGAGCAAATGTGCACATGTGCATGTGTGTAAATACATGTACACGTGTACGTATGACCAAGTGTAACGTGTTAGTATGTGTGTGCGCATGCATGTGTATGTGTGAGGCCGTGCACACATAAGCAGGTGTGCAATGTGAGCAAGCATGTGTGTGTAAACACACGTGCGTGAGGGCAGGTTTACATGAGTAGGGTTGCGAGTGGGAGCAAGTATGTGAAAGCATGGGGAGCGGAGGTAGCATGTGAGTGGATGTATGTGGAGTGGATGTGTGTGACTGATCATGAGGGTGTGTGTGTATGCATGTGTAAGAGCACATGGGCGCAAGCGAGAAGGGGGCACAGCCCAGGTCACTGAGCACTTGCATGGCACCGAGCCGCCTGCTTTCCTCATTGCCCCTAGGGGCAGGCTGAGGCCCTATGGAGCCTTATGAGCTGGGTGTGGCCTTGGGCAGGAGGGTGGAGGGCATGGGAGCCCTCCCCAGGGGCCTAGCAGGGAGTAGGTTCAAGGCTGGGGCAGTGGGAGCCTGTTGGAGGAGGGGTTTGGGGGGGCAGCGCCCAGCTCACCAGGACAGAGCAGACACTGGTGCCCTGCAGGCTGTCACCGCGCAGGCTGCCCTGCCGGCTGTCTCCTCGCAGGCTGCCCTGCCGGCTCTCCCCACGCAAGTGCAGCATCTCCTCGGTCTGGAAATCACAAAGGGCAAGACAGGGTAGCAGGTGCCCAGTCCCCCTAGACCAGCCCCAGCATCCCAGCTCTCCCCACAGGCCCCATCTGTCTCCCTGCTGGGTGTTGCATGCTCTCTACAGCTGCACAGCATGTGCAGAGCCCAGCACACACTGCCCCCAGCTGCTCTGACCCAGATGTAGCCTGTGACTGTGCCAGCTGCTGAGAAGGTCCCTGCACGTGGGCAGAGGGGCAGCCCCAGGCTGCCCATACCAGCTGCTGCCCCTGGGGACCCTGTGGGCCGTGGTACCAGACGCTAACCTCATGTGTGGCTACCCAGGGCAGATGCCAGACACTGACAGTGGGACACTGGGCACTGCAACTGTCAGCACGGAGCAAATGCAAATATATGCAAATAGGCATGCAGATCAGGGCAGACTCTGAGGACCCCACTGAGCTTGCCATTCCCACCCTTCATGCTGCTGGCCCATCCCCAGGCCAGCCTGCGTTCTTGCCCGGCTGGGCAGCACTTCCAGTCACGTGCAGCAAGCAGGGATGGAGCCCTGCTATGGGGACAGGCCCGGCCTGGGCCAACAGACTTCCCTGGGCCAGCGTGGCCTCACCTGGTTCCTTGTGTCAGTGCTGTGGCTGGAGTGCAGGCGCCGGATGGAGTTCTCCCTTGTCAGTGTCAGCTCCTCCTCGCTGCCAGGCAGAGTCAAGGCAGAGCATGAGAGGCCTGGCTTGGCCCCCACGCCCGCACCCATGCATGGAGCTCAGGGGCTGCTTGGGGCTGAGTGGCTCTCCCTGCTTCAAAGCTACACCTGAGCAACTCCCAGCTCCTGCATTCAGTGGGCAGTGGATGGCACAGGGATGCCCAGGGCTCGTTGCCCCCCAATCACAGGTTTAGGCAGGATCTGATCCTGTAGGGAGGCCAGGGCAAGGGCCAATGGTGGAATCTGTGGAGCTGGGAGCTTGGACACAGGTCTGTCCCAGCCACACTCCTGGGAGACAAGCTTCCACGCAGGAAACACCTTTAGTGGACCTAGACCTTACCAGCCCTCACTGACAAGGGTAAAGCCAGTTTGGATGGAGCACAGGCACAGCATGCACCCCCCGAGCCCAGAGAGCTCCATGCATCACCAGCATGGGGTGCTCAGGCTAGGCAGGAAGGGATCTGGGCACTGAGGAGTGCAGGTGATGTGGACATGGCAGCAGCTGGGCCCAGCCAGCACCAGGGCTGTGGGTGACCCTTCAGCCCCCTTCCCCCATGCCTCAGATGCCAGGCTGAGCGAGCACCAGGCTGAGCTGTGTGCTGAGCCGGGTCCCAATGTGCATGGGGTTGAACCCATGGGATCCGGGAGGGGCAGAGGTATTGGGGGTTTGAGGAACTGTGTGGGGTAGGAGCTGCCCCAGGCTTGTGCACTTACTACTTCTCGGAGATGCGCTTGGTTTTGCGCCTGTGATAGAGGGTCATGCAGATGACGACCACGATCAGCACGCACAGCAGCAAAGCGGCGATGACACCCACTACCACCATGGAGGCAGACACCACGTCCACCTGCTTCACAGCACTCACTGCAGGGAACAAGCGCATGGTAGAGGGGGTGTATTAGCAGGCTGATACCATGACCACAGCAGTCACCAGCATCCTGAAGACAAGCCACGAGCAGGCACATTCACACCTCAGGTGCCTGAGGGACAAGTCAGACCAGCGTAGACAGATGGAAAGGCATGAGCAGAGAGAGGTGGTTAGTCTGAAATCAGGCAGAAAGCAGGGTAGGTAAGGCCTCTGCTTGGAAAACCTCGTGCTGGACCTCTTGGATATAGTTAGTCTATAAGGTGCCAATCTACCCTGCCTTCTGCCTGACAGAAAGACAGCTAGACTGCTGGGAGGGGAAGGGAGAGATGGGCTGTATGGGGATGGGTGGATAGATAGAGTCTGGAGATAGAGACAAACACACAGATAGATAAGCATGTACAGAGATGGATGGACAGGTGGATGGACAGATGAGTGATGCCTTGTTAACCACCTGGCAGGCACCACTGGCTTTGAGCTAGTTCCTCACAGAGAGGAAACGCATATGCGCACGCGCGCGCGCGCGCCCCCCAATCACAGGTTTAGGCAGGATCTGATCCTGTAGGGAGGCCAGGGCAAGGGCCAATGGTGGAATCTGTGGAGCTGGGAGCTTGGACACAGGTCTGTCCCAGCCACACTCCTGGGAGACAAGCTTCCACGCAGGAAACACCTTTAGTGGACCTAGACCTTACCAGCCCTCACTGACAAGGGTAAAGCCAGTTTGGATGGAGCACAGGCACAGCATGCACCCCCCGAGCCCAGAGAGCTCCATGCATCACCAGCATGGGGTGCTCAGGCTAGGCAGGAAGGGATCTGGGCACTGAGGAGTGCAGGTGATGTGGACATGGCAGCAGCTGGGCCCAGCCAGCACCAGGGCTGTGGGTGACCCTTCAGCCCCCTTCCCCCATGCCTCAGATGCCAGGCTGAGCGAGCACCAGGCTGAGCTGTGTGCTGAGCCGGGTCCCAATGTGCATGGGGTTGAACCCATGGGATCCGGGAGGGGCAGAGGTATTGGGGGTTTGAGGAACTGTGTGGGGTAGGAGCTGCCCCAGGCTTGTGCACTTACTACTTCTCGGAGATGCGCTTGGTTTTGCGCCTGTGATAGAGGGTCATGCAGATGACGACCACGATCAGCACGCACAGCAGCAAAGCGGCGATGACACCCACTACCACCATGGAGGCAGACACCACGTCCACCTGCTTCACAGCACTCACTGCAGGGAACAAGCGCATGGTAGAGGGGGTGTATTAGCAGGCTGATACCATGACCACAGCAGTCACCAGCATCCTGAAGACAAGCCACGAGCAGGCACATTCACACCTCAGGTGCCTGAGGGACAAGTCAGACCAGCGTAGACAGATGGAAAGGCATGAGCAGAGAGAGGTGGTTAGTCTGAAATCAGGCAGAAAGCAGGGTAGGTAAGGCCTCTGCTTGGAAAACCTCGTGCTGGACCTCTTGGATATAGTTAGTCTATAAGGTGCCAATCTACCCTGCCTTCTGCCTGACAGAAAGACAGCTAGACTGCTGGGAGGGGAAGGGAGAGATGGGCTGTATGGGGATGGGTGGATAGATAGAGTCTGGAGATAGAGACAAACACACAGATAGATAAGCATGTACAGAGATGGATGGACAGGTGGATGGACAGATGAGTGATGCCTTGTTAACCACCTGGCAGGCACCACTGGCTTTGAGCTAGTTCCTCACAGAGAGGAAACGCATATGCGCACGCGCGCGCGCGCGCACACACACACACACACACACACACACAAACCCTCTCATACACATGCTCCTGGCAGCCCAGCGCCCTTGACCCTGTTCTGACACAAATAAGTGCCCCGCATGGGACCAGCAGCACAGGGCAAAAGCTCTTTTCAGACAGGGGCTGGAGGAGCTGGAGCCCTGCCCTGCCCCTGGTCTGCCCTCCCAGGCAGGGTGCCCACTGGGACCTAGACCTCCCTTGTGGACGTGGGGCTGAGGCAGGACGTGGTGGCCCATGGCAGGCAGGGCAGCACAGGAGAGCTCCTGATGCCACTAGGACTGAATTCCCATGTATGCCCAGCCTGCTGCCTGGGTCTGGGGTGGTGGGGTGTGGGGATGGGATCACATGTGGTGACATGGGGCAGCACAGACCAGAGAGGTCCCCAGGATCATCCTAGGCCCAGCTTCTTCCATGCAAAGCCACAGCCCCCGCTGCACCCCTACAACCCCCAGGGCACCCCAGGAAGCCACTCCTGATACTCTACCTTTGATGCTGACATTGGCCCAAGCCTCCTTGGTGGCAAAACTGTTGGCAACTCGGCAGACATAGACGCCCGTGTCGCTGACGGCGAGGGGTCTTTGGAAGACGAGGACATCACCCTTGACCTTCACACCTTCAGGGATGGAGCCTTCAAGCCTGGGGGGGGCACAGGGGCCGAATGAGTGGGTGCAAGTGGGGGCAACGGGGGCAGAGGGCTGGCCAGGCTGGGCATGGCCATTCGGGACACAATGCAGGCCTGTCCCACATGCTGTTCCCCAATGCTGGACTGATATATAGGGGTCTCCTGGAAGGGAACGGGGTGCTGGGGTGCCCCCAGGGCTCCCCTGGGCTGGGGAGAGAGCCTGAGACAGGGGCAGAGGCAGCAGGCACAGGTTGACGGGCATGCATAGAGGCAGCCCCAGGCACAGAGCAGGTAACCGGACCCCTGGTGCCCCCCTTCTCTGCGCGCCCCCCCTGCAGCCCCCTGCCCTCTCGCTGCCTCCTAGGGCCGACATGCCGAGACTGGTGCTGAAGGTGTGCAGGCGCGGTGGGGGGGGGTGGGACATGACATCATGAACAATAGGTGCTGAAATCAAAGGGCTCACTGCTGGTTCCCACGGTGCCTGGGTGGCTGGATGGGAGCCAGGGCCCAGCACCGGGGCCTGCCCAGACACAGCCCGAAACTGCACACGCTCCTGGCATCATTGCGCTAGGGCTGACTCGGCACGACCGGCGCCACGGGACCTGACTTGCAAGCACACACTGGACACGCGCGTGCATGGGGACACATGTCCCAGCCCGCGTCTCTGCACGCGCAAACCCAAACACCTATACACACCCCAGCACAAACCCATGCAAACACACACATCCGAGCAAATGTAGGGATACACACAAGCACCTGCATCACAAATATACACATATCCATGCAGACACACATGCACACAATCATCAGCACACAAACACATGCCAACCAAGAGATGTATACAAGCACATACAGGCAGCATAATTCATATTCGCACACATGCACACACACATGCAAATCTGTGCACATGCAGACACAAACTCCTGGGTGCACACACATGTGAAAAAGGGGCACGTGTTTCAGTGCACATGTATACACAATGCCAACACAGGCACACTTCCTGCATCTGCACCATCTAACACAAAAGGACACCCCCCCACAGGGAGGCACACACAAGTACACATGTTAACACACCTATAGCTATGCACGTGCACACCCAAACATATGCAAACAGCCATAGCCATGGGCACTGACACCCCAGACTCACAAGTTCATGTGGACAAACACAGGACCACATAGTGCAGCATGCACACGCAGTGTGCACAGGCATAGTGGGGCATGCCTGAATGCACAAGGAGAGCACACATGTGCAGCCACCTCAGCAGAAGCCAAAGGCACATTCGCATGCAGCTACAGAACCCAGATGTTCACACGTGCATGCACACACGCATGTGCACACACACTCATATCCCAGCTGCACATGCCCAGGTAAATACATATGTACACCCTCAAACACATGCAGATATAGCCACACATGTGTGCACTTGAACACGCACAACATGCCACCCAGATAAGACCTTCCTTGTCCCCTCCATGGTCTGGCTCTGTTAACCCTTTAGCTGCAGCTTCCATCAGAAAACCCTGATGCCCAATGCCCAGGACACCCTGTGCCATCAGACTCCAGCACAGCATTCCCTCTAAGCTGCGCAGCGTGCACAGCTGCGCCTGGCAGCGCGGCATGAGCACACCTGTGCGGCTGCACATGCCACACAGCTTAGAGGGAACGCTGCTGCAGCAGTGGGGAGGTTTGGCTCATGGAGTCCCCGGGAGCTGAGACCTGCTCCCCACAGTGCTCTGGGCAGCCCAGGACGGGGAGAGGTGGGAACCATGGAGGCACTGGCCAAGATGGTTTAGGCCTAGAAAGACCCCAGGGACAGATGGGCTGCAGGCAGCCATTGATTACTGAATGCACCTGATACAGCAGTGCCCAGAGGCCAAGCTAGGACCCCACTGCACCAGGAGCTATACAAATGACTTTGTACTGTACAGCTGTGCTGTGAGAGCTGCAGCACAGGGCGCAACTCCCCAAGGCACCCCAGTGAAAGACCTTCTCCCAGCCAGGCACACTCAGGCCCCTCCAGGAGCCCAGCAAACCCCATGCCGCTGTCTGACCCCATTGTTGACCCTCCTGCCAAGATGACCAAGAAGGCTCTGGGTGCATTCGGCTTCTGGGTGTATTTGGCCACTTCCTGAGACCTACAGCAAGTCCCAGCCAGTCCCTCAGCCCCGGTGAGACAGCAGAAATAGCTGGGTGATGAATAAGTGTTTACGGAGGATAAAACTTCCCTTTGAAAGCTACCGTGGGAGCCGGGTGCTCTAGCCTCCCAAGTTTCGAATAGCAGAGAGCCTGGGAATGCAGTGGCAGCCTTGGCCGGGCTCGTGCCCCCTGCTGAGCAGGGCAAGACAACAGCTAACTGCACAGGGCACTATTCTGGGGAAGCTTGCAGCCCTGCCATGCTGGCTGTCATGGGCTTGCCCACATAAAGTCACAGCCCTGGCTCTGGCACCCCTCAGGCTTCGATGGCAACACAGAGCATGACACAAACCTTAACACGTGACCACTGCCCTGGCCCGGCCTGCGTGGATCTGTGGCAGGGCCCAGGCCTCCCTGCACCCTGCTCTGGGATTCAAACCCAGGACCTCGGACCCAGAACTGCCAACCCCCTCCACCATGTCCAACGGCTCCATCTGGATCCTGCGGGCAGACAGCCCTAGCTCGGGGGGCCTCGCAGACACCATGTCCCCTCCCCTTCTGCTCAGCAGCTAACGCAGAGATCTCCCCCCATCACGGCCCCTCCTCTGCCGGGGGCGCTGATGCTTACCGGGTCCAGTTGTAGGTGGGTGGGGGGTTCCCCTCCCCCAGGCACTTCAGGGAAGCCCCCTCCTTGCCCTGGTGCCACTCCTCCTCCTTCTCATGCCCCAGCACCGAAGCATCCGAGAGATCTGGGGGTACAGGGCAGTAGCAAGTGAGGGAAGGCACAGAAAGGGTCCTGCCCTGGGTGCCAGGCCCCTCTGCCCCCTGCCCCCCCATACAAGCTCTGTGCTCTTGTCACCATGACCTGTAATCCCCGCCCCGCTGCACCAGCCAGGTCCCATGTGGCCGGGACCCACCCAGGGACCCCCTTTTATCTCACTCCCTGGGGGGTCACAACAAACCCTCTCCCCACAACAGCTCCCTCCACCATGGTCTCCCCCCCTCCGCCCTCATGGCACCCCCTTGAGGTCTCTGTCCCATATCTGGAGCCCCCGGGGGTCCTTGGAGCCTGCGCAGGGAAGACACATACAGGCGATGCTCAGCATATGCGTGATCCTCTTCTCGTGCTGCAGCCCTGGATGGGCGACAATGCAGGTCAATGCCTTGCCGTTCATGCTGCGCCCGGGCACCAGGAAGAACTCGCTGGTGATGGAGGCCGAGCGGGGATGCACGGACTGGCGGGTGATGTTGGTGCCGTGCACCTCCGTCTGCCAGGTCACCGTGGGCACTGGGTTCCCCTCTGCCGTGCACGAAGCGGCCAGCGTCCTGCCCTGGCCCTCCTCCAGCGGGGGGCCGGGATTGAGGATTGGCAGGGGGGGCACTGAGGGAGAAGGCCCGGGGCGGGGGTCAGACACCTGGCACCCATCCCCTGAGTCACCACCCTGGGGACCAGAGCAGCTGATCCCATGTTGTCCGGGGACCAACTCCACCAAAGTCTGGCCAAGTCCGGCTCTTGCCTGAGGGCTCTGCAGGCCTGGCTCCCACCCCAGGGTGACCTCCGAAAGGCCCCTATGGCCATCCCTTCACACCCCACTTAATGCCACATACACCCTCAGCTACCCCGACGCCCCCATTGCCACCACTCTCCCTGCATAACACCCACCCCAACCCCTCCCCATGGCTTGGGACTGAGGGTCCAGACATCAGGGCTGCTCTCACCCCCCAGAAGCAGCCATCCCGGTGGGGGTGGCCCCTCCCCAGGCCGCTCGGCCACTCACCCAGCACCTTGAGCATCAGGCTGGCCTCGAAGTTGCCCAGGGGGAAGGTGATGAGGCGGCACTCATAGGTGCCCTCGTCGGCCTGCACGGCGTTCTTCAGCACGATGGCGCCATCCATCAGGGCCCCCTGTGCCTGCCGCAGCACCCGTCCCTTGTAGGGCTCCTGGATGTGCTCCCCGTGCTCCGTGTGCAGCACGGCCAACTCTATGCTATGCCCGTCTGCCCCCTGCTTCAGCCACGTCACCTGCACCACCTTCTCGCCCACCTGGGCCCGGTAATGGCAGGGCAGCACCGCATCCGTGCCCAGCACCGCCGTCACGCTGCGCTGCACCTCCAGCACGCCAGCCAGTGATCCTGCAAGCAGATATAAAGAGGGTCAGGGGCTGCGGTGCAGCTGGACCTCGGGTTTGGCTGAGGCTGGCGCCTGGTGGCTATGGGATGCGCTGGGCACCATCTACCCTTCTCAGCCAGGCCACATAGCCAGGGCACAGCGCTCAGACCTGCATGTGAACACCCCAGGCCGGATTCGGACCGATGCCGGGAGATACCACCAAAGCCTTGGGCATGTCTCCCTGGGTTTCTAAGCAGTGGAGAATGGGAGCCCCACCCCAGATCCATGCACAGACCCGGATGGTCTACCAGGACTTCCCCAAGCCATGGGCAGCAGGGTGGGTGCACCCAAGGGGGTTTCATCCCCTCTCGAGGTGGCAGGTGGAGCACAGCCCAGCTCCAGGGTGGGGTCCCATATCCTGCCGTATGACTGCAGGCCCAGCGGGCAGGCTGCTTCGGCCCCTGCTCAGAGCTGAACACAGCACGCAGGACTCCTCATGCTGCTGGACTGGTGCGCGTTGAGCCATGCTGACCCCTCCACAGAGCACCATGCACTCCAGCACTTGCTCCTTCCTGACCCCTGCAGGGCAGCAGCGCCCTGCCTGGACACGTGGGGCTGGACAACCCGTGTGAAAGAGGTCACTGCTCTCTGCTCCAGGCAGGCTCTGGCCCCTCCCTTGCTGCACCCACCTGTCAGGCTCCCTGTGCCTGGCTGGAGGCGGGCATGCTGTGCTGAGGCAGGGCCCTCTCCGCCGCGGAGCCCGGGGCGAGGAATGCGGCTGGCTCTGGGGAAGCGGACGGGCCAGCGAGGCCAGATAAACCAGCCTGCTTGGATGCCAGAGATTTTGCAGCAGCATGCGAGGAATCCACTCCCCTCCTCTCCCCAGAGCTTCCCCGTCGCCCCCACACAAGGAGAGGCCAGCTTATCTTTGGGGGCACCTCAACACTGGGAAGGGCCAGCTCTTCCCAGCACCAAATGCCCCCACCCCCTCCTGCATCTCCACATGAGGACACCCAGCTGGTGCTGGGAGCCCCCCCAATCATGGGCTCGTAGGCAGAGGGGGGGGGCATTTCCTCCCTCCCGTGCTCCATGAGTCAGACCTGTACAACCTAGTCCTGCAACCCCACTCGGCTGTACCTGTGAGCAGCCTGATCACTTGTGTTTGGCTAGATCCTGTCTCAGAAATAGAATTAGAGAAAATGAGGGTGAGAAGTGACCTCAGGAGGTCACATCTAGTCCAAACCCCTGCTCCAAGCAAGACCAGCCCCATTTGCATCATCCCAGCCCATCCTAGCCGGGTCTTAAAACACCTCCAAGGATGGAGACTCCACTACCTCTCTGGGTAACCCAGTGCTTTGCCACCCTCTTGGTGAGAGAGTTTTTTCTAATATCTAACCTAGACTCCCCTTGCTGCAACTTGAGCCCATTGCACCTTGTTCCGTTATTTGCCACCACCAGTTCCATCCTCTTTGGACCCACCCTGCCAGGAGCTGAAGACTGTTATTCAATCCCCCTTCAACCTGCAGAGGAAGGCAAAGCCCCACAGTCCGTGCCCGTCTGACCCCAAACTGGGTGATCAGTTTGAAGAGCAAGACCCTCCAGGCAGGAGCCCCTGGGCTTCCCACCAGAGGTTCCTGCTCTGCCCCTTCCCTGCGGTCCCTGGTTCTTCTCCCCAAAGAACTCGCACGCCGCGATCACAATGCAAACAACCCAACCATCACGAGTGCGCTGCGCACGTCCACCACTTCAATTATCCAATCAACAGGCAGCAAATGCCTCCTGCTTGGATATGAGAATGGCGAGAGATGGAGAGTCCATGAGTGTGGTTCCGGGGCTGCTTTTCAGTGTCTTATGTCCAGTGCGGATGCCCCTGGCTTCAAGGGACGGGAAGGAGCTGCCTAGGTCACCGTGTCCAGCCCCTGGGTTTGTAGGCAGTTCATGTCCCAAAGACTGCCCCAGATCTGCACTCACAACATGTGCGTGACCCCAAGAAGCCCCCACCCACTCCCTAGGTAATGACAGTGGAGATGAGGGCCCTGCCAATGCCCTGCCACTGCAACAACAGGCAGAGATGCCCAGGAAACTCCAGGACAAAGCCTTTCCCCAAGCTACAGAGGAAGGCAAAGCCCTACAGGCCTTGCCCATCTGACCCCAAAATGGGTGATCAGTCTGACCCCGAGTGGCAGAGCGAGACCCTCCAGCCAGGAGCCTCTGGGCTTCCCGTCAGTGGTCCTCTTATGCCCCTTCCCCCCAGGTGAGATCCCTTTGGCCCCTGGTTCTTCTCCCCATCAAAGAACTCACACGCCGCGATCACAGTGCAAACAAGCCGACCATAACGTGCACTGCATGCGTCCGCCACACCAGTTATCTAGTCAACAAGCAGAAAAGGCACTATGCAACTTCTCCTCGCCAACCCATTGCAAAGGCCACCCCAGGGTCCATAATGTGTGATTCCTGTTCAGGACGCCACACAGCATTGGTGCCCCCAATGTGCCTTGCACGTGGATTTGCACATAAACATAAGAACTACCATTTCCTGGGGCAGACCATAGGTCCATCTTGCTTGGTCTTTGGTGTCACGCGGGGGCAGAGAGTGGAGGCTGAAAGGGAGGGTGAACAGGGTCTGACCTGTGTTTGCTCCCCTGTTTCTCTCCCACCTGCAGCCTCCAACATTGGAGGGCCAGGCAGTTCTGGCGCAGAGGCTGTGCCCCTCACCCCTGTGCTCAATAGCAGCCGATGCCCCTTTCCTCCAAAGATATGACCGATCCCTTGGTGAATCGGACTAAACTCTCAGCACCTCCCATGTCCGGTGGCCACGAGTCCTACCTTCAATTCCCGGCTGAATGAAAAGGAACTGGCCGGTATTCATTTTAAACCTGCTGCCAGCTAGTTTCATGTCGTGACCCTTCATTCCTTTATTGTGAGAGACAGTTAGTAATAAATCCCTATTGACTTTCTCTTCACCATTTAGCATTTTGCAAAACCTTCTCCTGTCCCCCCTCAAGCATCTCTCTTCTAACCCAACCAGGCTTGGCCTTTGTGCTCTCTCTTCCCAGGGAAGCCCCTCCATAGCACTCATCATCCTCGCTGCCCTTCTCTAGTTTTTCTATACCTTTTTTGAGGTGCGGGGACCAGAACTGGGCACAGAGCTCTGCATGGAGAAGTCGCTGGGACTGTCAGGGGGCCACACTCCCATAACAGGTCTGAGCCCGAGGTTCAAAGCTTTTCAGGCCTCTTCTTGCTGGAGTCATGGAGAAGTGGGGCTGGAAGGGAAGTCCAGGGGTCACATCTAGTCCAACCCCCTGCCTAAGGCAGGATCAGCCCTGTGCAAACCATCCCAAACACATCCATCATCTAAACTTTTCATTAAACTACCATCAGTCCTGACACCACACAAGGCATCACACCCAAACCTGCCCCAGGTAAACCAGGGGGACCATGGCAGCCAACGTCCTGCTTCTGTAAGAGCCTGTTAATACACACTAAAGAGATCCCAGGCAGAGGCCGTATCCCCCAATCCATACCAATCTGACCGCAGGAGGGGGGAAATGCCTTCCTGACCCCAAATACAGCATGGGTCTGACCCTGAGTGAAGGGGCAAGACCCTCTAGCCAGGACCCTCCAGCTTTGGTCCCAGCAGAAGCATTGGCACAGCCCAGTCCCCATCCCCAGCCTGGGCTGCAGCCAACACCCAGTGCCTCTGAGGGAGGCTTAAAAACACCCTGACACACGGAGCAGAAAGGGCTGGGGGGCATCCAGCAAAGCCCAAAAGCCTGGACAATCCCCATAGTAAAACCCAAGCATTGCTACCCCTAGATCATCCCTGATCAGTGGCTGTCCAACCTCCCCTTGAACACCTCCAGTGATGAAGAGCCCACCCCTTCCCTGGCATCTATGCCACAGCCTCCTCGCTCTGACAGTGAAGAAATGTTTCCTGATAGTCAATCTGAACCTACTTTGCTGCCACTTCAAGCCATTGGTCCTCCTCCTCCTCTGCAGCAAGAAAGAAAGGGTGCTTTCCCTCTTCTTCCTGGCAGCCTTCAGGTATTTGAAGACTTCTGTCATGGCCCCTCTTAAGCACCTTTCCTGCAAGCTGAACATGAAGCTTATACATGAAGAAAGCAGCTCTGTTTCCATCAGGCATTTACAGGACATGCGTCGACACCTCTATACCGAATGACCCTAATCCTCAGAGTGGGTCCCCACTCTTTGGCACCCGCCTTGTTGATTAATCTTAGCAATCAGCTTTCACACCCTGCTGTGCATCAGGTCGAAGTCAGCCGTGCATTGATCGGTGCTGGTGTTTAATGGCCACAGGTGGACCCAGCCTGCATAGCTTTTTTCAAACCCCTTCTGACCTGGCCTCCTCAGCACCTTGTGGCAAGGAGCTTCCCCTGCTAATGACACATGAAAACGATCTGCCTTAGGATGCCATGGTCTGGCCCCACCGCAACTCTGGGATGGTGAGAGCAAACCCCCGTTTGCTTTTTCCATGCCACTCGGGAGAAACATCATGAATGGCAAACGCCCTAGAGGACCCAGGCCCAAGCAAAGGGGAAGGGGCAGCAAGCGCGGGCTAGCTCACAATGCTGTGGGCAGGGGGGGCATCGTGAGATTCAGCACAGCATGCTGCAGCCTCAGGCTGAGAGTCGGGGGCTCTGCTCAGACCAGGGGGGCAGGCCTCAGACCCACTGGCCGGGCAGGCGGGAGCCCAACAGAGCAGATGGGTCTCTCGGGAATGGCTTCCCCCAGGAGCCCCTCCGGAGAGTTTGTCGGTTCCTCCCAATGCTTGACGCCTTCAGCAGAGCTGGAGCCGCTGAGCTAGACACACTCGCATTCGGGCCAGCGTCTTGCTGTACCACCTCAGTCCTTCCAGCCTGTGCAGGGCTGGGCGCGGGGCAGGTGCAGAGGAAATCCTGACCAAAATCTCCGGTGGTCCAGTGGGGCCACAATCAATGCCCAGCCTGCCCAGACATTAGAGAGAGGCCCCATACGGAGTCATCTTACTGGGTGCAGAGACCTTGCCCATGTGCGTGCATGTCCATGTGTGCACGTGTCTGCATGTGTGTGCACGTGTGTGTCCCCGGGGTCTGTCTGTGTGTGCACCTGCATGCGTGCCTTCAGGCAATTGTGTGCATGTGTGATGGAGATGGGGGCAGACAAGGATGCCGTGCGAGGAAAGGAGACCTGCCCCCACATACCCCAGCGCAAAGCGGGGCAGGGTGAATAGAGGCCACGCACCTGACCCAGGGCTGAGGCCAGGCTCTCAATTAACCTGGCCTGGCAGCCTCTCCCCCACCGCAGGTACCCCCAGGCAAAGGGCCCACTGCACCCAGAGAGCACCCAGCTCCCACCATCTGCAGCGTCACCTGTGGCACACGCGGGCCAGGCCCAGCTTCGCTCCCCTGCTTCTGCTTGACTGCCACAAGAGAGAGCTGAGGCTCCTTGTGGGGGGAGGAGGAGAGAGGAGCCACAACCCCCTCCCACTGGGCCCAGGCCCCAAGCTGAGCCCAAGATACTCCTCCAGGAGCAGGGCAAGGGAGACAGGTAGGACTGCAAAACATCAGGCATGTGGCCCTCCCAATCCATGCTGCAGTGCCCCACGCCCTGCCCAATCAGGCACTGCAGTGCCCCACGTCCTGTCCAGTCACCTGCTGCAGTGCCCCATGCCCTGCCCAATCAGACCCTGCAGTGCCACACATCCTGTCCAATCACACCATGCAGTGCCCCACGTCCTGCCCAATCACACCATGCAGTGCCCCACGTCCTGCCCAATCAATGCTGCACTTCCTCTCCATCCTGCTGCCCATCCAGTCCTGTCCTTGCTCTGGCTCTGGCCTCAGCCCCTGGGGGCGCCGGGTCCAGACTGTGCCCATGCCCCGGAGGGAGCCATGGAGCGTAGCCCAGCCTAGTTTGGGGCCCAGGGCCACCCAGGGAGCCAGTGCCAGAGCAGGGCAGTGTCCTGGAGCCCCAAGCACCACCCAGCAGCCAGTCCCAGCCACTCCTGGCCCAGGGCATCTGCAAACATCCCATGCACAGTGTCAACAACCTAGGTTTGCTCAGCATCTGGGAAGGAAAACACCACAGTGAGCCAGCCCTCCCGTGTCGCAGCGCCCAGTGATGCCTGCTGGGCACCTGGCCCTTGCGCCCTTGGGAGCGCTGTCAGTCATGCCATGGGGACGAGAGCATGCCAGCTGCATGCTCAAGGAGCACACGTGTTCACTCCCTGGCCCAGCAGCCACTGTCTCCTCCTTGGAGTCCATTCAGCCCCCAGCTCAGAGGGCCCTGACCTGTGATTTTGCATGTCACCCCTGGGCTCTGGTCTTGCTTGTGGTCTGTGCAGCAGCTTGCAACATGGGCGGCCCTGATATGAGGGTGGCATGCAGCAGATGAGCAGAGCCATCTCCAACTGACAGATGGGGAAACTGAGGCACTGCCAGGAAACTGCCTATTCTTGGCCCCAGCAGGCTGGGGCAGAGCTGGGGACAGAGGTTTGGCCAATGCCTCTCTGGGCCCTTTGGAGACAGCCTTTCCCTAGGGCTCTGACTAGAGCAGGCATGGTCAGGAGACTCATACAGACCACGGCACCATTCTGCCTGCCCCTCGCCCGAGCGCCGTGTCTGGGGTGTAATAGGCAGGTTGCCCAGGACCCCACAGAGAGGGACACCCCAGGTAATAATGCTGAGCCTTGGGCCAGACCCCATCCCATCCCCTGGGCACTGAAGGAGAATGAGGCACGGAGATGCGATAACGTCAGGGCCTTGACAATCCACCAATGCCTCGGTCCCAGGAATGTGCCACCTAACACTGAGTCACGGGACAGCAGAGAGGAGGGGCAGGACCTGCCCGCCTTTGTTATTGGCAGGAGCACAGTTGAGTTGAGCTCAGGTGCCTCAGCCAAGCCCAATAAGGGGAGCAGGGTCTACCCTTAGTGCTGCAGAGGGTGGGAGCTGGAGGAAGGCTCGGTGAGGGCTGAGCTGACCTCTCCCAGGCAAGAGGGTCCTGCAGAGGACCTGCACCCCAGGACATTCAATAGCTGTCACTGTCTCTCCCTGGTGGGGTTGATGGAAGATCTTATGATCTTTGCTGCCACCCTCTGGCCCTCCTGCCCTGGCTCTGCCTGGCCCAAGGGCTGGAGAGAGAGTTGAGATGGGCCAGTCGCAGTGAGCACCCACGTGACATGCCCCTCGCCCACCTGCCCCGTACCTCAGATATGGTGCATGCAAGCACAAGGCACTGAAAGGTGGCAGGGGCACAGGCTGTGCCAGCCCTGCCACCAGACTGGACCAGACTTGCTCAGGATCCCATCTCCCATGGCAGCCAGGCCACGGTGCAAGAAGGCACCTCCAGGCAATGAAGGGAGAACACCTGCAGAGGGAATCAGCCCCCCAGCCTGGCATCCTTCCCCTGCTGCTGTCCCAGCTGCCCATCTGGGCAGAGAGCATCCTGGCAGGGCTTTCTGCCCAGGGCTGGTCCCGCAGCAAATCCCTGGTGCTGACACCAGTCAGAATTACCCACTTCCTCACCCCGTGACCAGGACATCCTGTGCCCAGGCCCGGATAAACATCCTGTGAGCAAGCCACCCACTGACACCCACGGCAGAGCTCAGAGCACCTGCTCCTCAGAGACACCAAAGCTGAGCTGCCCACAGGCCCCGTGTCTGTTGTGCTCCTGCCTGCTCAGGTTGGTCTCTGGGCAGCGGCAGGGCTCCCATCTACACTGGCTTAGCCCTGATGTAGGCAGGCAGAAATGTACCCTGAACATCATGCAACAGCGCGGCACAGCTGCAACGCACCCCAGCTGCCAACTCTTGTCTGTCAGCTCCACGCATTTCCCTGAACTCTGACCCACCAAGCATCTGAGCACAGAGGAGGAATGCGGGCGTTTCACTCGTGC